GTGTCCAAAATCAATTTATTGGAGGCCTATAGTGAAAATATTTGCAAACTGAAAGATCTATTGCCTAGAATTTGCTTAACTCAAAATTAAGCTTAATTTTGAAAGAAAGCATCTCCTCATGTTTTTTTTCAATTTTCTGCTCTATTTACTTTCTACTTTTATAGAGAGATATGCACAAGTGAGTTAGAGAAATAAAAGAAAAAGAAGGCCCCCTATGAGGACATCAAAATAGAAATGAAATAAAAAATCTGATTGCAGGCAAATTAACTGACAAAGGCAAAAAATCTATAAGAGACAGAGGTAGAAGAGTTTGTTCAATGTCTTATGTTTTGGATTCCACAGAGTTTCCAGCAATTTAGAAAAAAACAACTTTTGCAGATGTACAAGTGCATGGTGATGAAATTATTGTTGGGCACACAATGTGAATCTCTGTAAATATATTTAGAGGCAGGATTTAATAAACTAAGGTGTCTGGTGCAGATTTGGCATAGTGCTGTTCCAGATATGGAAAACTAGACCAAAAAATGAAGAAAAAAGTGGGGGGGAGAGGGAAAGACCATTAAAGAAGGAGAATGGATACACGGGAGAGAATTCCAGGAAATGCAGAGTTTAAGACCACAATTAATGAGAAGTAGACACCAAATACTTGAGAATCTATGGAAGGAAAGTAGCAAATAGAATTTTAAATGCAAACTTCCAGCACAAACAGCAGAAGAGGCCAAATAGCTTGTAAGGTTGGGAAGTGAAGAGATCAAGCACCAGGCTTGAACAAACAAAAGAGAATAATTTTCCCTCAAAGCACATAACTAAATTCAGAACCTTGTTGCCACAGGTTACTGTGGAAGCTAAGATGACAAATGTTTTGAAATGGGACTGGACAGGCAGGTTGGAATATAAATAATGCTATAGGTTAGGAAAGGTGCAGTGGGACTTCTGGTCTTACACATCGTAGGAGATCTGTTCAAAAGCACATTTCAAAACACTAATGAGGTTGTAACTCGGTCTTTCAGTTGCCTTCATTTGCTTGCCCAATGAAAAAAAAAAAAAGAGAGGCTGAAGACAAAGGAATATGTCATGCCACTTGGAATTTCCCAGAGATCCTAAGTAACTGGCACAACCACTTTCCTAGTTAAAATTTGGGCAATTAGAACTGCTTTGACCATCCACAGCTGCTGATTCACGTTCATTTCCATACTGCTCTTCCAGATAATTGCTGCACAACACATTATATATAGCTCTGAATATTTCAACTAATTTAATGCCTGGCTGTAGATTGGTATATCAGGATATCTCACCGAGGTACCCTGTTTCAAATAGGGCTGCAAATGATAAACTGCTGCTGCTTCCATTAAGGAGGTTTCTCAGTGATGTGGACTTCTGCCACTCACTCCAAGGTGGTGCTGAGCTGAATCTTTGGCAGTGACACCCAGAGGTTATGAACTACTCCTCCAAACACAGCATCTGTGTCTTCAGGTTGATTATGATGGAACAGCTCCTTCCTCAACTCCAGCTAAATCACTGCAGTTATTACCAGAGCTCTGTAAGCAGAGTCTCTGCTTTTTTTGGGGTTGAGCAACACGAGTTTGACAGTTTGCTCTGTTTGCTGGTGATTAATGACTAGTATTTGGACAAAGGTAAACAAAAATTCTTAATAAATTGGAAGAGAGTGAAAATTGCCTGGGGCCCATTACCAAAGAAAGTGTGTAATATATCTAGCCAGAATGTGCACTTCTAAAGCACTAAGCTTGCCAATTAGAATACAGAAATGACAACAGCTACAGGCATTAAAGCCTGTGCCTTTGTTATTGCATGAAACAAATGTTTGAGCAAACTACATGTCTTGCCTTTGTGCTTCTTCCTATAAACTCTGACTTTGTACCCACCTTCCTGCTTCCCAGAGTACTTTTTGACATTTATTATTAACAATAAATGTTAAGAAAAATGAAATTAGCAGTCACATTGATTCGGCAAAGCAGCATGAGCATATTTAATAGCCCAAGCCTTTAACCTTATTCAAATAGATTCAATTTCTCTGAAGTCTGGTTTCTTTAATTATACAAAAAAAAAAAAAAAATATTGTCAGATACTAGTTGTATTGGACACATTTCCATTCATCTGCTTACAGCAATATTTATTTTCTCTGCCATCACTTAACATCAAAACAGTATTACCTCATCATCACCACTCTCAATAGAAAAAAAATACTACTCTTCTGTATAATTTTGTGTTTAGGTTGGTCAAGTTAAAGGCATGAGACACTCTTTGCTTGGTTTGTATAATTAATATGTATAAATACTTTGCTTACACCAAATCTCTAATTATGATAAGCAATATTTTCCATTTTTAGCCAATGTTCTCTCTACACTAAAGCTACCTAAATCTTCTCTGAGCTAGGAAGATAACCTAAAAATTGAGAAAATTAGTAGATTCAGTATCACTCAGAGGGGGAATTCTTAGGGGGGAAAAAAAAGGGAGAGAAGCAGAAGAAGATCTTACACCATTAACACAGAAAAAGATAAAAATCTGTTGAAGTGCAAAAAAGAAAGGAATAAAATGTATGGAAATCACAGTGCATATTAGAAAAGGAAAGCTGTGAATCATGTTGCCCTTCCCTGCCTCTGCAGAGGATGCCTTCCACTGGTGTCCCCTGATTCCTCACACAAGCTGGTGTGGGAAATCTGGCATGTGCCTTGTCTTAGAAACCTGATTTTCAACGTAAGAAGTCATATGATTAATGAGCTCTAACAAAGGAGTAGGGCAAAAAAAAAAAAAAATCACATCAACATGTTAAGCACAGGGGAAGGGATGAGAAATCATCGGATGCTTCCAGATATATTTAGGAAGATTAAAAAAATATACACCTCTATTAAATAGAAGGATGCATCTCAGAAAATGATAAAAAGTAGGTTTTCTAGCCCCCAGAGAGAGAGGGAAAAATACTGTATAATTTTAGGAGGATTATGGTTCACTAGAGACATTCATGAACGTAATGAGCTAAAGAAGGGGTAAGACTGCTTAAATTTATCTATACGACTGATTGTGCTACACTTGGTAAAATAATTGTGTCAGTCTCCTTTGTACTTAAAATAAACCTTACAACTCTGAACCCCAGTAAGTTGTTAAGTACTAAACATCATCTCATGCTCTGTCACATAACTCTGATTGTTTCAGAAACCTGGGAAGCTCCTGACATTTACCTTCTCTATTTCCAGCGCTGGAATCGCAGAAATGCAATTAGGAAAACTCAGGTACTCATAACAGGAAAGGTCAGCAATGAGCAAGCTGAAGCTGATAACATGCCTAATGTGCTGCCAAACATAACAGAATGCCTGCCTGATAATGAGTGATTTTACAGACTGCCAGGAAGTTGATGTAACATAATCAGATCAACACAGGACACACCACTGTGTAGGAGTGGGAATGGTGAAATATTCTTTGATAGAGTTCTATTGCAAAGTCACTGCTGATGGAAAAAGATCCCCCTTTATAAAAGGCCGTATTTTCAGAAATAATCACACAAATAAATTGGGCAGAAAACACAAATGACAGAAGCTTCAACATATGGTAAGTGCAGAAGCCATTACCTCATCAAAGGCAGAGCACTTTGTGCCTGCAGCCAACAAACACCACACCACCACCTCTGGGATGCAAAAGACATTTTTTCATTTCCTCTTCTTGTAGCAGCCAATGTAAATAGAGGTTAGAGGGTTTAGTTTTTCTGTTTGCCTTTAACACAGAAATACTCACGCAGCAGTACAGGCTCTGTGTTCCTCATGCAAAGATCTCCTCCTTATTTGTGCCACTAATCCTACATAAACTAATGGTGAACTTGAAGAAAAATGAAAAGTAACCTAAGTGTTTCTTTTGAAAAATGACATTTCATCAACAGTGCCAATAAATATCTCATTACTGAAAGCAGCACTTACTAGAATTTTTATGCCAAATACCTAGAGGCAGGTAAACCAGAAGTGAAAATTGTTTCTGATACCTTACAACCATCGAGGAAATGTGTATTTCTTGTAACTGAGTTCATCATGAGCAAATAAAATCTACATAATTCTCTTGTCTATTTAAAGACTAAAATTTGCATTAGATTTTTTTCATTTTATTCTGTAATACTTATAAGAAATTGCATTTAAAAAAATAGAGGGAAAAAAGTACCATCATGAATTAAAGTGGAGGTTCTGACTCTATATTCTCTTATATTAAAATTCATATTATGGAAATCATAACCTTCCAGAAATTACCTGTGATAACATCACAGGTACATCATGTTTTGAGACTCCTAGATCCAAATTGCCGGGCTGTATTAAAGGAAAATTCTAATTTTATATTATAGTTTCCCCTATACATGATCAAAGTAGAAGGCAGTTGGTTTTTTCACATGACACATATTGTTGCCTAATTAATTACGGGGAAAAAAAAAATCCAAGAACTGTAATTTAATGTGAGCCTTCCTATTTTTCCATTTTATTGGAAGTAGTATAATGCATTTAGGACATGACACAGTTTTGAGGTCTGACTGTAATGATGGGCCAGGTGATATCAGCTAACTTATATGAGCTGAATTTTCTCAGTAGCAGGCTGTAAGTTGTGTGAAGTATTCAATGTCTTGTCTTTGGTGGTCTATAAAAAGCTAAGCAGAAAACCTCAAGTACACATCTGTCTGATATTTCTCTTCATATATCCTTTTGTAACCAGCTCTTTCTGAACAGCTGGGCCTGAGGCAAGTATTTATGAAACCCACACACTGCAATACATTTTTACAGGTGCTTACTTAGCAAAAAGTTCACAATATAAGTGAATATATTTTGTTTAAACTGTAAGAAGAGAGGCATGCCAATAAAAAGACAATGAAAAAGAAAGACAACAGCATCAATAAAAGTGCAATTACGCTTCCAAATTTTCTTGCTGTTCTTTCCATAATGATCACAAGCACCTGATTGTATCAGCCAGAAAAGTGAAATATGCATGGAATGCACTAAGGAGAGCACACTCACCATGTACTATCAGGACATATTCTGTGCTGTTTCGGCCAATGGGATTTTTTGCTTCACATCGGTACGTGCCATTGTCTGTTTTGTTTAGGAAGCTGATGCTTAGAACTCTGCCATTGACAACCATTCTCTCTGGATCTGGTAGTTCTCCACCATCCTTTGTCCACAGTACTGGTTCTGGCCTGTTGGGTCAAAGCAAGGCATTTATTTAGACAGGTGAAACACGTATATGCAACATGTACATCAGAAATAGCAGCATCAGCAACTTATAAATCACCTACCACCCCAAAAATATTTGAATGACTGGATCTAATGAACTCTCACTGTTACAACTTTGCCATCCTGGATGTGAACTGTTAAAGAAAATGAAAGAACAAGTAGAGAAATAAGAAAGAATACAAATAAAAAAGGAAGCAGAATGGTACTGCAATAGGCCATGATCTTTCCTAAATTAAAAAAATAGTTCCCCTGAGGTTTCAGGGCCCACAAATGCTCGGCAAGCTAAGTGCTAATAGGATGATGTGGGTGTAAGTGGTTTGTAAATTGATTCTCAAATTACTTAAGCCATTCATTTTCACAAGTGAACTTGAATGCACTGAGTATTTTTCCTGAACCAGGTTTATCAGTCCCAAAGTAGCATGTCTTACACAAAACCTAAACTTATTTCTCTTGCTGCATTGTGTCACAGCCCATCCCTTTTCACACCTTTTCTTCATCCTTCCCTTAAATAATTCCTTGTTACCAATGCTAGTTACCACAAGCAATGTAAGATTTAACTTGAAATCCTGAATTTTCTTCTCTTTGTGAAACCTTTCCTCCTTTGCCTGATGCACTCAAATCAAACAGGACAGAGGCAATGCCCTGGCAGTGACAACCCCCTAGGCAAGGTAAGGGCACCACAGAGAAGGGAACTGGCAGTCCTGAAGGTTCACACACATCTCCTCCCCACTGGCAAGGCACACCCAGCTCCTTCCTACAGACTCTCAAGGAGCTCCAAAGTCCAGGATGTATTTATTACTGGCATGCAGCCCTTATTTGTGTGTAACAAGATATACTTTCAAATTTACATGAAGGAAATGGCCAAAAAGACAGGTCTGTAACAGGGAATGAAAGGTTTTACTGAATCTTGTCTATGTAATGAGCAGACAGAGCATCTCAAGCCCTTTTACATCACTCACTTCAGCAGGATATTCATAGCCTGGGGCTTCAGTGCTGCCTTGCTTGTAGCTTTGTGCTGTATAAGCTACATACCAATCTCTATCCAAACCCGTACAACCGAGCTTATTACTTGTACAACTCAGTAATAAACCCAAACATAATACACTGTTATAAAATTAACAGCTGCCAGGTTAGTCACTAGTTATACTCAAGAAACACTTAATTTCACTAATTTGAAGCAGGTGTTTTAAGCCTATTAGATATAATAAGTGCTAAGAAAAAGAATTAAACCTAAATACTTAAGGAAAAACATTTAGCCAAAATGTGGTCTCATAAACAGAAAAATAGTTGTAATGGTTGTAATGACATGATTTTCTTTTGAGTTGGCAACACATGTAAACAGAGGGAATTTTTCTGAAATGCACTTTATAAAATTCAAATTAATCTTTAAAGAAAAATATTTATTCTGAAATATAATAGATTTACACACATTTTTGTAATATTTTGGATGACACCCTGTTAAAATGTTGCCGAACTACTTAGTTCTTAGACTGGCTATTCTCCAAAGTTTTGATTTTTTTCCAGAAAATCATATGCTCAGAGAATAAAAGCAAGGTTTAAGAACTGATGGTGTCATGGGCCTTATTTATGCCTTACCATAAATAAGTCTTAATGCTCTTCCTAAGTTCATTTTCATGAACTGGTATCCACGCACAATGATACACAATGCACACACTTTCTTTTGTGTTTAATGCAAGCAGGGAATCCAGATGTCCATGCTGCTGTAGAAACATTGCCCTACAGAGTTCCCAGCATTAAGGTGTGATTTGCTTGATATGTTAAGGTGGATTTGTTCAATTTTCCGGCCAACTCTGCATTGTTTCCCATTTACCAGCTTACTGTGGATCTGTAATCCCAGGAGTGGAGACTCTGAAACACTTCTGCTACAATGTGCACCATTACCTGCATAAATGGCGTGTTAAAGCAACTTCTGTGCAGTGGTAATTTATGGAACTTAGGTTTTAAATTGAAACTAGATGGCATATCCTAGGGGAAAACCTATAGGATAACAAATAAGTATGAAATGGAGCTGTAGATATAAATTATTCAGGGAGCTCTGTCACATTGTAATACACCAACTCCAGACTTATACAGAGCACTTAGCTGTGGTTGCAAAATGACGTGTGGCAGAAAAGCCAGGGCTTAGAGAGAGGCAGATCTGCATTCTCTGGGTGTTGGGGAAGCTGCTAATGAAGGGTGGATATTCAGCCATCCTGTGCTGTATTTTGGCAGCAGCAGAGGCAGCAGGGCCATTGCCAGCACATCCCAACAGGGCAGAGCTCTCCCTCCACCTCTCTGCTCTGGGGCACGGTGGTGCCTAAAGCAGCAACTCTGTCACAGCCACGGAATTAATTTCTGCCTGCACTGCTGGGAAGCTTTGAGACACTTGGTCAAAACAATTCACTGGTTAGGCAGAAGTGAGCTGAGAACAGGAGACGTGTTCATGCACCCATCACGCTGCTGTGGTCAGCGACAGGGGGGTGGCTGTTTTAGAGAAACATGGGAGTACATCCATTTTCTGCTGCCCATTCCTCCTGCACTCTGCCAGCAACCACAATCATCCTGTCAGGGGTGCTGCAGGCCACGTCTTTTGTTCTCTTTTATATCCACTTATTATTTAGACCTGTGCCTATGAAACTCTCCAATATCTTTTGGAATCTGCTTATGATGTCCATCAACACAACCTCCTGCAGCAACTGATTCTGGAAATTCCTCCCTACCTGCCATGTGTTGGAATTTTGAAGTTTAGGAATTGTGAATTTTTTTGTGTTTTTTGATATTGACTTTTAGAAGACTATTGGTTTTGATTTGAGGTTTTGGAGAAGGTTTTTAAATTTGAGTAA